AAAGGGTGACTTTCCTAAGCTTTCATTTGCGCATCCATACCATGCATGTCTCCTCTGAGACATGGAGTCCAAGGGGAAGGAGAAAGGTGCGAATTCCTCACGTGTGAATGAGGCTTTACACTTTGAACTGCTAGCCTGAATCAGTGATGTAATTTTGTGGTTTCAAGAGCCTTTGGCAGGTTGGGTTGGAGTGGTGGCAGGGTAGGGTTTTATATTTCTACTAGAGGCCCAATGCATGGGTGGGGGCCAGCGGGCCCTGACCTCGACTGGGGTGGGGGTCCCCGCTGGGGGGCAGGGCTGGCCGGTGCAAGGGGCCATGGTCATTCTGGTTGTTCTGGCCATTCTGCTGTTTCAGTCGCTGGGCTTTTATTATATAGAAGATATATTTGATTATATGTACATATAATCAAAAATATGTAGTCAAATATGTATAAACTAGAGGCCCGGTGCATGAAATTCATGCACTGGGGATGGGGGGGGTGTTCCTTAGCCTGGCCTGTGCCCTCTCGCAGTCCAGGACCCCTCCCTCCTTACCGCCCACCTGCTTGCTGCTTCCTACCGCTCGGCTTGCTGCTCCTTAGTGCTGCCGCGAAGGCTCCTGCCACCACCGCTGCTGCACTTGCCAGCTGTGAGCCCCGCTTCTGGCTGAGTGGCACTCCCCTTGTGGGAACACACTGACCACCAGGGGGCCGCTCCTGCGTTGAGTGTCTGCCCCTTGGTGGTCAGTTCAGAGCCACCAGTCATTCCACCATTTGGTCAATTTGCATATGAGGGTTTTATTATATAGGATAGGATATTGAATGTGAACTGTAAATGAAAAATAAAATTTAAAAAAGAACCAAATAAAATTTTAGATCTGAAAAATTTTTAATATATATATTATAACATAATATATATATATATAATATAATAATATATATATTTAATTCTCACCTGAGGATGTTTTTAAAATTGATTTTTAGAGAGAGAAACATCCATGTGACAGAGAAATACCAGTAGGCTGCCTCTGCACCTGCTGACCCACTGGGATCTAACCTAAACCTAAGTATGTGCCCTCACCTAGAATCCAACAGGAAATCCTTTGGTGTACAGGTTGAGACTCTGACCAATTGAGCCACCTGGTGAGGGCAGATCTGAAAAAAATTTTTAAGTGTACCTCCAGGTCCTGGTCAGTGTGGATCAGTAGTTAGAGTGTCCTCCCACGCACCAAAGGGTCATGGGTTCGATTCCAGGTGAGGGTACATACACAGGTGGTGGGTTCCATCCCTGTCAGAATGCTTAGGGAACTTTCTCTCTCCCTTCCTCTCTCTAGAATCAATGAAAAAAACATATCCTTAGGGGAGGACTTAAAAAGAAAAAGAAATGCTGTTTTGGTTGAGTGGATAGTGATTCTGCAGGCGGACTGAAGGGTACCGGGTTGGATTCCAATCAAGGGCACATACCTCAGTTGCAGGCTCAATCTGGGCCCTGGTTGGGGATTCAGCAAGAGGCAACCAATTGATGTCTCTCACATTAGTTTCTTTCTTTCTCCCTCCCTTCCACTCTCCGACAAAAAAATAATAAATCAATGCAAAAATGTCCTCAGGTGAGGATTAACCAAAACAAACCAACACACACCCATCCCCAGTGTGATTATTGAAGGAGCATATGAAGTATTTGTTGAATGAGCAGGAAGGAATGGGATTTCACTTTCTCTGCAAGCCAGAGGGTTTATTTTTTATTTTAATTTTTATTGATTGATTATTTTAGAGAGAGGAAGGGAGTGAGAGAAACACCAGTGTGTTGTTCCGCTTGTTATGCTGTCTCTGTTTGCTTCTTGTCTGTGCCCTGACCAGGATCCAATCCGCAACCTTGCTGTATAGGGAGGAGGTTCTAACCCACCATGCTGTGCGCTGCCTGTCAGGGCCCCTCAACAAAACCCCTCTGGCTGCCCTGGCCCCTGCTGTGGGTTGGAGCTCCTCTGCCACAGCAAAGGTTTGGGTTCCATTCTGCCAGGGCACCTACTTAGGTTTTGGGTTGATCCCCGGTGGGGGCTGACTGCTGCTCAGGAAGTGACTGAGGACCGTGTGCTCTAGTCATTTGGTGGGAGCTGGGGTTCCATTGCCAACCTGGCCCACTCTGCTCCCCACTACCCCTGCTCCTACATCAAGGATGACTTCAACTATGGCAGCTGTGTGGCCTCCACCAGTGTAAACATCTGCATGGGTAGGTCACCCTCTCTGTGGCTCGCCAGGCATGGCTGCTACACAGTCGCCCCAGAGGCAGATTTCCGGGTTCCCAGGGAGAGCGCCCTCTGTGCCAGACTGCCAGGGAGAGCGGGGTCGGAGGGAAAGCACTTTGCCTGGAGCCGAGCACCCGTCCTGTGCAGGGCTCATAGGGTTTGTGTCTCCGATTCTGCCCTCAGCAGCCCCAGCGCCGAGGTGGTGGGCTTTGGGGCTGCTGGGTGCCGGACCCCCTGCGGGTTTGTGTCTCCGATCCTGCCCCCAGCAGCCCCAGCACTGTGGTGGTGGGGCTTGGTGCTTCTGGGTTCAGGGCCCCCCTGCAGGTTTGTGTCTCTGATTCAGCCCCCAGCAGCCCCAGTGTGATGGTGGCAGGGCTTGGGTCTGCTGGGTGCCAGGGCTGCTGGGTGCCAGTCCTTTGGGTTTGTGTCTCTGATTCCCCCACCGCCCCCCCCCCCAGCAGCCCAGCACTACGATGGCGGGGTTTGGGGCTGCTGGGTGCTGGGGCTGCGTGTTTGTGTCTCCAACCCGGCCCCCAGCAGCCCCAGCACAGAGGTGGTGGGGCTTGGGGCTGCTGAGACCTGACGGGAGACATAAACACACAGGGCTTCCATCAGGTTTCGCTGTTCTGGCCCCGGAGCCATTAGGCTTTGCTGCTCCAGCCTGGGAGCCATCAGGCTTTGCTCCGGGACTTGGAGCCTATGTATGCAAATTCTTTGTTGAGTTAATTTGCATACTCTCCTGATTGGCTGGTTAGTGTAGCAAAGGTATGGTCAATTTACATGTTTGTCTCTTATTAGGTAAGACAGTGAAAGGTATATAGTCATATATAGTCAAATGCATATATACATGATTTGATCTCACAAGACCCCAATGTTCCCCTTCATTCACTACAGATAACAACGAACCTTAGAGTCTATCTCTTTGGGGTGGCATGGAGGACCACAAAGCTTTGGGTGGAAGGGAAACTTCCAATTCAAGCTCCTTTTTAACTTGTTACAACAGCAGAGCAGAAAGAATGTTGTGGAACAGAAATAAATCCCTGCTTTCAGAGAGGTGGCACAAAGCTGTGGAACCACCACATGCTTTGTCCTGGGTCAGCTCACATCGACCTGGCAGGCACTACGGCATGAGCACTGACCCATGAGACTGGAGTTAGTTTTGGGGACAGGTGTGAGATCAGGATCCTGGACACCCCTGTTGGGCCACTTATTAACCTGTTAGTTACAGTGGGCATAGGTCTGGGTGCGGTGACAGCTGAAAGCCTGGTATACCAGCTGTTTTCTTACTAGTACCTAACTCAGCCTTTTACAACCCGGTTATACGAAGAATGTTGGGTAAATATCAGCCTGTTGACAAGCTCCTGGACAGAATGACTCTGGGTCTTAGAGAAGAACAAAAGAGGGTTCACTTGAATAGAAGCTGTAAGAAGATGGAGCACTTAGAAGAATTCCCATCCCACAGTTTCTCTTTCTCTCTCTCTCTCCCCCTCTCTCTCCTGAATGTTAAATTCTCATCTGGTTTCTGCTGCTTATTTGACCGGTATGTCATGCTGCCTGTATGTATGTTTTTCCCATGGCCTGTGGACAGCCTTCTCAACTAGATCGTATTCTTGTGTTAGTCATATGTTGCTGCATAACACATGACTCCAACGTTTTAGCAGCTTACAAAACCCAGCATTTCTTATCTCACGTCATCACTGAGGTCAGAAACCTGAGAGCAGCTTACCTGGGTGGGGCTGGCTCAGGGTTTCTCATGAGGCTGCCTTCAAGCTTTCAGCCAAGATTGCCGTCATCTGAGGGCTTGACCCTGGCCAGGAAATCTGCTTCCAAGCTCACTGCCCTGGCTGTGGCAGGAGACTTTACTTCCTCAGTTCCTCCCTGTTCCATGCCGAGTGGGACTCACGGCGGTTCCGTGGAGGTTAACGTGGCAGTAGGCTTCCATGAATGAGTGATCCAAGAGAGAACAAGGCAGAAGTCAATATCTTTAATAACCTGGACTATGAGTGACACACCATCATTTCTCCTACTTGATATGTCTTACCTCCACAGACCATATTTAAAAATCAAGTCTGAGCAACATATACTCTTATTTAATAAAAACCTGCTCATCTCTTGTTAAACTTGATGTTGTTGGGTTGAAATATAGTGACACTATAAGGCCAGTAACACCAACTGTCATCAGACTTTGGCTTACAAGTGAGATTTTGGGCACTCTTGATATATTGAAAGTAAACTTTGTGAAGAAAGAAAGACAAAAGTGAAACAGATGCAAATACTCATCAGCATATCCATGGGCAGCAGGAGTCGTGCAATTGGTCTTCTGTATTTCCGCCGTATTAAAAATGGTCACTCGGTCAAAGTGAACTGACTGACTATTTGTTCTTTGGCTCTTCAACAAATATTGATTGGCCATGGTACTGGTCATTGCTCAAAGTGCCTTGTCCCTCCAGAGCCTCTCACTTGGCCTCCCACACCAGCACGCAGCAGAGAGTGTGCACATGGGAGGGGTCGAGGTCTGGGTACTCTTTTGGGAAATGACGGTCCCACCTCTGAGTTTGGGAACCAGTGGAAATACCTACAACATGCTCCCCTGAAATACATTCCTGCTCCTCCAGCATCTTCTCTGAGGCATTAACTGATTCCCTGAGGCGATTAGAGCCCAGAGAGGTCATTGCTGCCTCCTGTTTCTGAAGCCTCACATGTGACAGCAGCAGGATGTGGGCAGGAAGTGCCCTGATGAGCTAACAAAGGCTTGCCTGTTTCCCTGGGTGGGGGTGTCACCTCCTCAGTGGGCAAACATGTTCTTGGAAGCGTGTCCATGGTCATTCTGGTGTCTGGTGAGCTGGCTCCTCGAGGTGAGAAATGAAGAGGGAAACTCCTCTGAGCACTACGGATCCTCATTGTTTCATGGCTTTTCCAAGAAGGTCCCGATTCTGTGAGATAAGCAGCAGCTTCCCTCAAGTGAGTAGTCACTGTGTAAGAGGCAGGCAGAGTGGCGACTCAGTGTGTGGTCTCAGGGAGCTCAGAGCTGGAGTCGCTGCTTATTTCATAGTTGTGCCTATTTGTGCTGCTAGAATTCTGTGCCTCAGTTTCCTCATCTGTAAAGTGGGGGCAGGGGAAGGGCGGCCTGTTTCATTGGATTATTGTAAAAATTAAATGGGATTGTTAACGGAGCAGAGCATGCCTTGTCTCCCCCTCATTGCTAGTGGGAGTGGGGTTCTGCTGGAATAAGAAGGCCCCCACAGGACGATGAGATATAGTAGAAAGCTTTATTTCCATGGAATTACACTCCTGGGTTTCCAAAGTGCCATTTCCCTTAGTCCAGTCATAAAACAAGTGTAGCTGGGGTTTCAGTAAAGCTAGAAGCAAAACCAATATCCAGAGTTTCCTTTCCACGTTGGAGCCGGGCCCAATTCAGCACCAGGTTAGCTGCAGTCCATTAGTCCATTGCGTGTGGGATGCACATGGCCATGGGCCATATGGGCAAATGCAAGAGAACCAAGAGAGCTTGTCTGGAGCAACAAGAGTCTCAGGAATCCTGAAAGCACAAGAGAGAAAGCTCCTTTGTTCAGGGGGTTTTGTATTCCAAATCTTTGAGTGCTTGCTATGGCCACGCCCATTCTGGCCAACCATCTCTGTCCCCAGGTGTGACTGATAGGCAAGTGTCTTCTCTATGTCACCCCAACTTTGCTGGGCAGGTGTCTGTTTTTCCTATGTAGTTCTTTCCCCCAGTGTTTTGCAGGGAACATGCCTATAATGTCTGGTCTTCCCTTGGTTCCTTTTCTGTTATTAATAACTAGTTAATTACGATGGTATCAGGATGATACATTTTAAAAAATTTAGAATAATTCCTGGCAAATAGCAAATGATCAATAACTGTTAGTGTTATTTGCCCACATGACTGAGTGCAGTTCATTTAATCCCCACAACTCGGGGAGTGAGGTTTTGTTATGATTCCATTTTAAAGATGACAAAACTGAATTTGGAAGGAATTCAGTTGCTGGCCCAATGACTCATGGTAGTAGGTGGAACAGGAGAGATTTGAATCTGGGGCTATCTGACTCCAAAAGCAAAGTGCTTAATGGAGACAGCACCTGCCTCACAATACTGCACTGCAGCAAGGGCCAGGTATGTGGGAGAAAGGACTTGCTGATGGACCCAATCGGCTTCATTCTTGCCTTTCTTCCCTCCTTTATTCATTCACTCATTCATTCATCCAACACATGTTAGGTATCCCACTGGACATGGGAGCAATGAGGAGCAATGCAGGCATGTTCTGCCCTTACAGAGCTCACAGGAGGTTAGCAGAGCTAGACCCCATCGCACACAGGTCTGTACGTGCACGGATCCTTGGGGTGAGGAAAGGAAAGCACAGGGGCTGGGCCAGTGTGGGATCTGACCTAGGGTGAGGACTCACTCTCTTGAAGCACGACTTCTGAGCTGAAATCCTAAGGAAGAGGAATACATAGGAGGCAGGGGACACCAGAAGGTAGAGAAGGGTTCCTATGTCTTAAATATTGGCCAAAAAGTCTATTTCTTTTATTGTATCATATTGAAAAGTAAAAATTCTTGTTAAGTGTGCTTATATCTTATGGTCAATATTACCAACACTGCCTGCTAAAAGTGACATTTCTGATTATCATCCCAATGTGAGAAATTCTGACAAAAGGGAGCTGAAAGGGTTTTCCGAAGTTCTCCTCACCTCCACCCCCACTCCCCGAGCAGCACTGCCCATTCCCACCTGAACAGGGCCTGGTGCAGGGAAGGGCTTGATTCTGCTTTGAGACAGTGTGGTGGGTGTCCTGCTTGCCTGGCTCGGGGCCACCATGGCTTTGGACACACCATGTACCTGCATCCACCGCCTGAGCAGCAGGTGGCCTAGGTGTGTCTGCAGCTGTGTTCGGACCCCTCTAGGTGTCACTGCTCTTTGCTATCTTAGCCCATGGCCCTCACTTAGACTCATCTCTGATCGCCTGCGTTTGATGTTTGTCCACTAGCTCCCTGTGTTTGAACCTCACCCTGGGACTAGGGCTTCCCTTCCTAGTCCCTCTGGCTGGGCCCTGGCTGCCTCATGCTAATTCTGGTAGAGGAAACATTTTGTTCTTGTTGGGAATTGAACCTTCTCCTCATCAACCTCCCACCCCGCGCATACACATTGTGGGCCGCCTGGTCAGTGCTCGTCCCAGATGGTAGTCAGCAACATTCTGGGATGTGAAGACACTTCTAAGCTCAGTTCTCGTTCCAACAGCCCAGCACATAAGGTATCCAGGGCGTGGGGTTCTGCACCTGTGCGTGTTAAACCTGAGCCACCTCAGAATCCCGGGAGGGTTGTGAAGACAGGCCGTGGGCCCCACCCACATTTTCTGATTCCGAGGGCCTGGGGTGGGCTGAGAACTTGCATTTGTAACCAGTTCCCAAGTGGCAGTGCTGCCCTGCTCAGGTGCTGAAGAATAAGCAGCCGGCCAGCCAGGGGCAGGAAGGCTGGCCACCCTCTGTGACCTGCAGATGGAGCTGGTCACCCAGCACGCAGAGCACCTTCGAGTTGCTTGGGAGAGGAGGTTGCGGCCTCTGAGGAGAGGAGGCTCTTTTGCTGACCTAAAGGCAGAGCTACCTTTCCTGTGTAGCTGAAGGACAAAGAGAGAACATTGACTTGGGAGTCAGGCGAGCCTGGGTCAGACTCCTGCCAGTAACACTCATGTTGATGCAGCCTCTCTGGACCCGCAGCATCGGAAAGGCATCTCCCTCAGAAGACTGCTGTGGGCCTCAGTGTCCAGCTCCAGCGGAGCCTGGATTGGAGAAGGAGCTCATTACAGGACCGCTGTTTTATTCATAGGCCCGTGGGGACACCTCTCAAATCCCATCCTCTGCTAATGAGTGGGAAGGAGGGGTCCTGGTGGAGGTTTGCAAACATGGTTTTCCTCATTATTTGTCTACCCCCTATGGAGTTTCTTTTAGGAACCTCCTGACAGGCTCTGGGGAGAAATAGAAACCTAATGACAGCGGTTCCCTCACAATGCTTAGCAAGCAAGGGACAGGGAGTGAGTAAAGGGAGCCAGTTAACCGCGCACCTGCTACATGCCTGGCAGTGTTTCCATTGTAGAGATGAGGAAACTGAGGTTAAGGAACTTGCTGTAGGAGAAGCAGAACCCTTGGATTAGCTCCAGGCTCCTCATTTTAGAGATGAGAAAACCGCAGAGGTTAAGTAACTTGCTCAAGGGCACACAGTTGGTTCGATGATAGAGTTGGGGCAAGTCTCGGCTTTTAAAAACTGGACTTGTCTCATTATATCACAGCTTCCTCAGTCTTTGCCTGGAACAGTTTAACCAGGAGGAAAGGTGTGAAAACATTTGAGCTCTAAATAACTTTTTGGTACTTTTTGTTGGTGTTTTAAACAAACTGGAGCTGGTGTTGGTTCCCCTTTGGGGAGACTAAGATTGTTCATCAAGGACGAACTGGGGAGCCTCCGCTGATGACAGGCTCTGGAGCATCACTCCATATCAGTCACCCCTCCACATCTGAGGAGTATTGCCCACCAGGGGCCCTGCCCAAGGCAGCTGTCGCCATCAATGCCTTTGGATCTCAAAAGTTTTGTACAATGTCCTGCCCCCAGAGAGTTATTTTTATAGACTAAATAATGCCTAGTGTATGGCAATTCAGCTTTGGGGCACTTCCAGAGCCTGATAGTAGACTTTCAATAGCTAGGAAAGAGATCTCAACTCTGGAAAATTAGAATTGGCCCCGACAGAGCAGACTTTGTCTCACAGATCCTGAGGAGATCCATCGTCCAGATTTCCCCTCCAGCTTAATCACCCCGGCCCTCAACATGCACTGTTCCCTCTCCTTTGCCTGCATCCTGAACAGAGTCCATACAATATGGTTTCTGAGAAAGTAAATTATTCATTAAAATAAGATATTGGAAGTATGAACAGGTGCAAATGTTTGAATCCTTTATCTTTAAAATCTAGTGGTAGAATAGAATGTCTTAACCAATTAAATAAATCCCATCATATTCTAATTTCATTTTTCTCTCTCTGAAATTCATTGCAGAAATATTCATTGAGCATCTCCTCTGTGGGAAGCATGCTTGTAGGTACATGGGTTACATCAGGGAACAAAACACAGGCTGTGTCAGCTGCTTCCACTGAACGGGATTTGGGAACATGTCCTCTCAGCGGCAACCTGCTCTCTCCTCTGAGACACACTTGGACTCCCTGTCTTGGGTGACTTTGGATGAAGCTGGTTTCCGCAAGGGCAGAGCGGGGTGCAGGAGAGGCTGCTGCTGGATTTTTTTTGTTCGTTTAGTTTTATTTCATAAACTGAATTCTGCTATTCAGCTACAGTGGGAAGGGGTAAGGAAAATATGGAACCCAATGAATGGCGGCGAGAGCACAAAGACCATAGAACATTCCAGGCAGATGGGGGTGGAGGGGTGCTCTCCTGAGTGACAGAGGAATGTTCTGGTGGTAAGATAAAACACAAGTCAAATGTATTAGAGTTGTCCACAGTCAGCAATGGTGATCATGCTGGTCTTGCCATTCCTGGACCACAGTGCTCCCTGGCTGCCACAACATCCATGCCATCTCTCACCTGGCTGAAGACCACAGGCTTGCCATCCAACCACTTGGGCATGGCAGTGCCAATGAAAAACTAGGAGCCATTTATGTTGGGCCCAGCATTTGCCATGGACAACATACTAGGGCCCGTGTGCTTCAGGATGAAATTCTCATCATCAAATTTCTCCCCATAGATCAGTGGTTATCAACCTTCCTAATGCCACAACCGTTTAATACAGTTCCTCATGTTGTGGTGACCCCCAATTTCATTGTTACAAATTGAACATAATTAAAGCATAGTGATTAATCACAAAAACAATATGTAATTATATATGTGTTTTCTGATGGTCTTAGGCGACCCCTGTGAAAGGGTCATCCGACCCCCAAAGGGGTCGCGACCCACAGGTT